TGAAGAAGGGTCCAGACCCGAAATGCCAGCTTTCCTGCTCCTCTGATGCTGCTTGGCCTGTTGTGTTCATCCAGCTCTACACCTTGTTATCTCAAGAACTAGAGAATTGTGTTTAAAAATAAGATGTCACAGAGGTCTGCAGCACTGGAAAAAAGCCCTCCACCCATTGAGTCTGCACTGGTCAAAAACAAACGGGTATCTGTTCAAATGCCAAGGTCTCCTATATGAGGTGGAGATGAGAATGTTGTTCTCATTGTTACGAATCTGTGGACCTTTCTTCCCCAAAGATTGATGCAGACTGGGTTATTAATTTTTTTTTTTTAAAAAGGCAGAAATATTTTATTGACTAACAAGTGTCTCGGAGGGCATTGGGGGTATGCAAGAAATTGGGCTAAGGCTATAATCAGATCATCCATGCTGGCCATGGCAGGTTTAAGGAGCTAAATGGCCTGTTCTCCTTACTCTTGAGTTATGTTATAGTAGAACAGTGGGGCTGGAAAAATACTTAAATTTTGTAGGGGCCTATCTTTTTGTGAAGAGAAATTTTCTGTGCAGAGAGTTTGTTTGGGACTAATTATGACCAATCACACTGAAAATTCACTTACAACTGAATGACCCAGCCCATACTTTACTATGTTTAATTAGTAACTTTTCACTACCACCTCCAATGAGATGGGCTATAAACACTTGCCTTCCTTGCGACAGGAGTTGGAGGGTTTCAGGAGAACAGAATGAAGAAGAAGCATGATGGATTTACTGATGACAATGAAACAGAATTTTGTACAGGGCTGCACAGAACGGATTTCATTTTGTGTCTCATGTCTGATGCTGACCTTGATTGATTCTCTAGTGGCCACCTTATGTAGTGACCTCAGCTCATGGGTTCATTCTTCACCTGGTCCTGCCTTCACCACATGAAGTTCTCCTTAGAAATACTGAATCTCAGCGGCCTTTCCACCATGTATGCCTCAATCTGGTCACGTTCTTTGATTAACAGGTTCTGTGCTTCTAATCTAGAACTAGTTTCCGGGTCATGGTTCTAATCTGGCAACAAATTTGCCAGCTCAAAAGTTGTACAACACAATGGACTGTTCATTGATACCAATTGATTCTTGCTGATGCAAATACAGCTCTCCGTCCTTTTGAATTCCATCCAATTCTGTTTAGCCTCCTTAGTGCCCTTCCTGGTTGATTTCTGGCTCACCTTGTTATCTGATTCCTAATTACTGTTGACAATACCCTTAGAAGTATATGATTCAGTCACAATACACACGAGTATATCACCCATTCCAGGCACTAAAGGTCAATTGTCTTGTAGGAGGTCAAGGTTTTTGAGAAGATTTGTAGCTCAGGTTGTGGACTTGCTTGCCAAGCTGGTAAGTTTGTTCACAAAAGTTTCATCACCATGCTAGGCAACATCATCAGTGCACCTCCGGTGAAGCATCGGTGTTCTGTCCTGCTTGCTATTTGTGTATCTTGGTTTGTTGGCGTGGGTGGCATCACTTCTGGACTTGTTTCTTAGTGATTAGTATATGGGGTCCAGTTCTACGTGTTGTTAATGGAGTTCCAATTTGAGTGCCAGGCCTCCAGGAATTCTGGTGCTTGTCTTGCTTGGCTTGCCCTAGGATGGCTACGTTGTCCCAGTCGAATTGGTGTCCCTCTTTGTCCATGTGTATTGAAATGAGTAATAGTTGGGTCATGTCCCTTGGTAGCTAGTTAGTTTTTGTGAATCCTGATGGCTAGTTTCCTTCCGTTTTACCCTATGTAATAGTTTTGGCAGATTCACGAACACTAACTAGCTGCCAAGAGACATGACCAACTATCACTCATTTCAATACACATGGACAAAGAGGGACACCAATTCGAATGGGACAACGTAGCCATCCTAGGATAAGCCAAGCAAAGACACGCACCAGAATTGCTGGAGACCTGGCACTCAAACCAGAACTTCATTAACAAACATGTAGAGCTGGACCCCATATACCAACCACTAAGAAACAAATCTAGAAGTGATACCACCCACCCCAAAAAACAAGACAGAAATAGCAAGCAGGACAGAACACCAGTGCTCCACCGGAGGTGCACTGATGATGTTGCCTAGCATGGTGGCGAAATGTTTGCAAAGAAACTTAGCAGCTCGGCGAGCAAGTCAACAACCACTTGTAAGAGATATTGGTTGGGAGTATGAAATGTGTGTGTGTGTGTGTGTGTATATATAAAGGTAACTCGTTATTTTTGCCTTTTCTTTTCAATTGTGTGTGAGAGAGACCTAGGTGCTTCCTCTTTACATTGTATCACTGTTCCTTTTCAAATGAAAAACCTACATGATTTTTATTCTGCAGCACATATTTATAATGCAACAAAATGAGTACAAGGAAGAAGGAATTGAATGGGAAACGATAACTTACAAGGACAACAAATCAATACTGGTAAAAAAAAAACACTGGCATTTACAAATATGTCTTGATTTATTGGCGCGTTATTTTATGTTCTGTTCTATTCATGTGTAAATTTCTTGTACACAGGATCTTTTTTTAGCAAGACCCCTTGGTGTGTTTTCTCTGTTGGATGAACAAAGTGCATTTCCGCAGGTAAGGAATGAAGCAGTGAAAAGAGAATTGTAAGTTTGTTGGTAACATTTTAGACACCATAGTTATTCTGGAGCAAAATACAGCAGTTGCAGAAAGTCTGCAATAAAAAACAAAAAATGCTGGAAGTATTCAGTACTCTAGGTATAGTTTTATAGGGAGAAGCAGTGATAATGTTCCAGATTAATGAGCTTCCATTAGAATTGAGGTTCAAAATTGTCCCCTAGACTTACCAAAGCCAGAATGAAGCCTCCTTTTCTCATTCCTTTTTTACTAACATCTTCCCCGCTCCACTTTTTCTTCTGCTGCTCCTGCTTAGCCTTCCCATCCTCTCCCCATTCATCTGGGTTTTAAGCTAGCTCAAGATTTAGGTTGATATCACTGAAACTAATAACGTAACAGGAGATATTGTTGCATGGTGAATGATGAAAATTTATAGAATCCCTACGGTCTGGAAGCAGGCCATTCTGCCCATTGAGGCTGCATCAAACTTCCAAAGAGCAGCCCATCCAGACCCATTCCCCTACCCTGTCTCTTTAACCCTGCATTTCCCATGGCTAACCCACCTAGCCTGCGCATCCCCGGACACGATGTGGGCAATTTTGCATGGCCAATCCACCTGATCTGCACACCTTCAGACTGTGGGAGGAAGCTGGAGCAAACCGGCACAGAAACAGGGAGCATGTGTACCAAATCCACTCAGATAGTCACCCGAGAGTGGAACCAAACCCAGGTCCCCGCTGCTGTGAGGCAGCAGTGCTAACCACTGAGCCACCATGCCACCCCTTAGTAAGAAGCAAGATTATGCTCAACAAACCAAGGCTGTAATGTGTCCATTGATCTGTGTTTTTTTTTTACTTTGAACTGCAATCGGACTTCAGATAATGTGTTTGATAAGAGTTTGGAAATGTGACATTAAAGAAACCAATTTGATTTTGTATTTACTAATGTGGGAGTATCAGATTTAAAAAAAAAGTAAAACTAATTGCAACCACCCTAAAGTTTCCTACATTTCTTCCCTTCCTGCCCCTCCCACTCAAAATGCCAGTTGAAAATGGGGGAGGGTTTTGAGATGTGCATTGTTTAGGCTGCAGGAGTGAACCCTTCCCTCCTCCGGACCTGCCCTGGAGCCTTCAGCTGTCGAGCCACCTCCTGAATTTTAACAAAAGATTAAGAACCTGCTGACCATGCAACAGTGGTTTCATCAGAAAATCAACTTGTTTTCATAAATTTTCAAATTTCGCAACACAGCCCTTCTTTACTCTCTTGACCCTTTGTGCACTTTGAGAAATTGCAATGCATCTGGTTGAGATACTAAGTGGGAGGATAGGGGAGCATTACACAGCTGCAGGCCGAAGATATTAGTATCATCAATAGCCACAGGTGAGGTGCCGGAACACTGGAGATTGGCTAAAGTGGTGCCAATATTTAAGAAAGGTGGTAAGGAAAAGCCAGGGAACTATAGTCCGGTGAGCCTGACATTGGTGGTGGAGGGAATCCTGAGGGACAGGATTTACGAGAATCTGGAAAGACCAGGACTGATTAGGGATGGTCAATGTGGCTTTGTGCATGGGAAATTGTGTCTCACTAACTTGATTGAGTTTTTTGAAGTAGTGACAAAGGGGATTGATGAGGGCAGAGTGGTGGACATAATCTATAAGGACTTCAGTAAGGTGTTTGACAAGGTTCCTCATGGTAGACTGGTTAGCAAGGTTGGATCACATAGAATACTGGGAAAACTATCCATTTAGATACAAAACTGGCTCGAAGGTAGAAAACAGACGGTGGTGGTGGTGGACAGTTGCTTTTCAGACCGGAGGCCTGTAACCAGCGGTGTGCCACAAGGATCAGTGCTGGGTCTACTGCTTTTCGTCATTTATATAAATGATTTGGGTGTGAACGTAGGAGGTATGGTTAGTAAGTTTGCAGATGACATTAAAATTGGAGGTGTAGTGGACAGCGAAGAAGGTTATCTCACAGTACAACAGGACCTTGATCAGATGGGCCAATGGGCTGAGGAGTGGGAAATGGAGTTTCATTTAGATACGTGTGAGGTGTTGCATTTTGGAATCTCAAATCAGGGCAGGACTCGTACAGTTAATGGTAAGGTCCTGGGGAGTGTTGTTGAACAAAGAGACCTTGGAGTACAGGTTCATAGTTCCTTGAAAGTGGAGTTGCAAGTAGATAAGATAATGAAGAAGGCGCTTTGGCTTGCTTGCCTTTATTGGTCAGTGCATTGAGTAAAGGAGTTGGGAGGTCATGTCCTGGCTGTACAGGACATTGGTTAGGCCACTATCGGAATACTGCCTGAAATTCTGGTCTCCCTGCTATAGGGAGGATGTTGTGAAACTAGAAAGGATTCAAAAGATTTACAAGGATGTTGCCAGGGTTGGAGGGTTTGAGCTATAGGCAGAGGCTGATTAGGCTGGGGCTAATTTTCCTGGAGCATCGGAGGCTGAGTGGTGACCTGATAGAGGTTTATAAAATCATGACGGGCATGGATAGGGTAAATAAGCAAGCTGTTTTCCCCAGGTAGTCCAAACCAGAGGGTACAAGTTTAAGGTGGGAGGGGAAAGATTTAAAAGGGACCAAAGGGGCCAACTTTTTCTCAGAGGGTGGTGCTTGTATGGAATGAGTTGCCAGAGGAAGTGTTGGAGTCTGGTACAATTTCAACATTTGAAAGGCATCTGGATGGGTATATGAATAGGAAGGGCCTAATGGGATATGGGCCAAATGCTGGCAAATGGGAGTAGATTAATGGAGGATACCTGGTTGGCATGAACGAGTTGGACCGAAGGGTCTGTTTCTATGTTGTATATCTCTATGGCTCTAACCAGTGAAGCAGTGGAGTCAGGCTGTTTTTCTTTAAAAATTATTGTACGTGTTTTGCAACCACGTCACTCACGTTGCCTTACTCTCTCTTTTTTTTTTTTTTTATTATTGTTTATCCCGAATTTCTGTGCATGCTTGGGTGTTAGGTATTAAATTTATTCAAAAGATACGGGCTTCACTGGTTCAGCCGCTATGTGTTGGCCATCCCGAATTGCCCCGGAGTAGATGATGGTGGACTGTCGTCTTAAACCACTGCAGTCTATTTTTGTGTTTGGACACCCACAGTGCTGTCAAGGAGGAAGTCCCAGGATTTTCACCTAGTGACTGTGAAGGAAGCAGTTGATTGGATTGGAACTGCATCCTTTGAAATCTCAGGGCTGGAGGTGGTCTCCACCATTAGCTATAAAATATCGTCTCTCATATTTCTGAAGGGATTAAACTTTCAGCCGCACTCGAGCATTGTTATGACACACCCAGTCTCACAATTTTCTTACACATTTTTTTTTTCTCCTGTCTGTCCTAAGAGTGATAATTTATGCTGGAATATGTGGTAAGATTTTTTTGTCAAAGGCACATATATTTTCCTTCTGTTAACTTACTGGATAGAAACTGACCAGTGGAAGGGAGTGCAAATTTTCTGTTCTATAATTGTGGGATGTGCTAACTAGTGTTGAAACTGAGTGAGTCTCTCCAATAGCTCAGTGGCTGGCAGTTACTCTGTGGTACCTTAAATTAACAGATCATTCTTGATCATTGAGTTTAAACAATACGTTCCAGCATACCATTCAGCTGTAAAGATTTCACAGGCAGTAACTATCCTATCCTGGCTTCATGCCCATACGTAGCCATTTTCAAAAGAGATTGTCTAGCCCTGTTTTTCAATCTTTTTCTTTTTGATGCTTCAATAAACCCAGGATTGGGGCAGTGCAGACTAGAGATTAAATGCTGGGATCTTCCTGTTCAAGTTGGAATGATCTGAAGTATCCGAGAAGCTATACTTGCATTTCATTCAATTGCATTCATTGTGATACATGAACTGCGACTGACTCAGCCGTCCAACAGAGTTAAGATATTTTGCTTCCATGGAAAGCCTGGTTGTGGTCATAGAATCATACAGTACAGAGACATCCTTTTGACCAAACAAGGTTGCAGTGGCAAAAATTTGCTCTAGATCTACGCAGTCCCCTGGGCTATCACTTGCCCATAGCTTCGAATGTTGTGACATTTCAATGCTCATTCAAGTTCTTTTTAAAGGATCTGAAGTTTTTTTCCTCAACTACCCTTCCACACAGTGTATTGAAAATTTCCACCACCCCCTGGATGAGTAGCCAAAGAAATGTAGTGTTATGCATCAAGTTGACAGAATTGATATAACTTCATTCATGCATGACTCAGTTGATTTTTGGTCAAACCTCTTCTTCAGTGTTCCCTTGATGAACTGATCAAAGCGTTCTGAATCATTCTAAATGTGTTGTACAGACTTGAAGCGAATTTAGTTAACATTTAAAATCAAGATTATATGCAAATCTCAAAGATTGTTTTGGAATGTGTATGATATTTAGGTATGCCTTTCATGTACCATTACAGGCCACTGACAGGACTTTTGTAGACAAACTGAACAGTAGTTTCAAAGGGAATCCACACTTTAAAATAGATAGGAGTCGTGCTCCAGGATTTACAGTGATACACTATGCTGGAAAGGTAAGTTTTTTTTTTTTTTTTTTTTTTTTTTTTTTTTTTTTTTTTTTTTCTCTCTCATTTCTGTAAAGAAACATCGATAGAAAGTGTTGGTTAGTCACTATAAAGCAATGTCACCAATAACAAAGGACTCATTGGTACAATGTGTATATTTTTTTTCCTCTGGAATAATATGGTATGCTTGCTGCTGCCAGTAATCAAAAGTTTTGTGAGTATTTCAATAAAAAAAAGACTTCCTCATGAACATTAAAGGTACCCCAATACATGTTGAATGTCATGGTCAGAATTCAGTAATGCATCTCAACATTACTTGGTAAGTGTATTGATATTAACTGTGCCTCCACAGAAACAAACCGCAGCAACTTCATATTCTATTGTAAAGAAGAATGTTCCCATCATTCAGAACGAGTATATATCACAATGTAATATTTACAAGGTAAATGTTTGAAGAGCACCTGAGAATCTTAATGTGTAGTATTCCAGGACAATAGCAAAATGGGAATCTTTGAATTCAAAGACAGTTTCAGCTATGCAAGCCAACTGGAAGTTTATTTTCTATTTATTTATAGAGCCTGCTAATGCTGTTGCAAGGTATTTCGGTGTAATTCCTATCCCATTCTCGTCACTCTGTGGGCAGACAGAAGTTCAGATCCACCCCAGATCTGTGCTGTCAAGATTTTGAGGCTAGATCATTAAGTTGATATCAGTGGGTACTTGTATGACATGAGTGAAGTGACTGAAAGAGAATGATCAGTCATCCCTGATTAAAGAGATTAAAGGCAAGAGCTGTTTTATAATTATGTAGTGCCTGTCTTTTATTGTTTGAAAACCCTGTACAGGCAATTAATTACCTTACTTTTCAAGCATGATCAGTTATGTCACAGGTTGACACAGCAGCAAAGTTTTGTACAGCAAGGTTTATTGAATGGCGGTGAGTAGCTGCCCAAATGTTTTTGTGTTTTTTGTGTTTGTTGAGAGAATAGCAAAAAGCACCAAAGATCAGTTTGTGAATGCTGCATTGAAATATTAGCCTAGATTTATGTGTTCAAGTGACTTCTGGCACTGGTCAGGACGCTGCCACTGAACCAGGCAGATAATAAGAATGAGGGGGAACATTGAATGTGAATATAGGAGGAATGGTTAGTAAATTTAGCAGATGACGTCAAAACTGGTAGTGTAGTGGACAGTGAAGAAAATTATTTCAGAGTACAATTGGACCTTGATCAGATGGGCCAATGGGCCAAGGAGTGGCAGATGGAGTATAATTTAGATAAATGTGAAGTGTTGCATTTTGGTAAGGCAACCAGGGCAGGATTTGTAAGTTAATGGTAGGGCCCTGAGGAGTGTTGCCAAGCAAAGAGACTGAGGAGTGCAGGTGCATAGTTCCTTGAAAGTGGAGTCTCAGGTGGACAGGTTGGTGAAGAAGGCATTTGGTACACTTGCCTTCATTGGTCAGTGCATTGAGTATAGGACTGGGTCATCGTGCTGCTCCTGTACAGGACTTTGGTGAGGCTACTTTTAGTATAGTACGTACATTTCTGGTCTCCCTTCCATAGGAAGGATGTTAAAGTTGAGAGGATGCAGAAAAAATTTACAAAGATGTTGCCAAGACTGGAGGGTTAGATGGAGAGGCAGAGTCGGCCTTTTCCCTGGAGCATCGGAGGCTGAGGGGTGACCTCCATAGAGGTTTATAAAATGATGAGGGACATAGGTAGGATGCATAGGCAAGATCCTTTTTGTGGGGGGCGGGGGAGTCTAAAACTAGAAGGCACAGGTTTGAGGGGAGAGATTTTAAAAAAGACCTGAGGGGTAAATTTCCATGCAGAGAGTGGTGTGTGTATAGAACGAGCTGCCAGAGAACGTGGTGGAGGCAGGTACAATTACAACATTTAGAAGGCTCCTGGATGGGTATATGAATAGAAAGGATTTAGAGGGATATGGGCTAAATGTTGGCAAATGGGACTAGATCAGATTGGGATATATGATTTGGTGCAAATGAGTTAGACTGAAAGATCTGTTTCGCTGCTGTATGACTTTGCCATCCTATACAAGATATAGAGTCAGGCAACAGGAGTTAGATTGAATGTGGAAGAACAAAGGGAAAAGGTCAGGGCAGACTCTGGAGAAGAGGGTTTGTCTGTGAAACTGCGAGGAGGAGTTATGAATTTCATACTTTACGCCTTGCTATTAAACTAGTGTCTGCTAATTTGTCTAATCACTGTGGGTCACATTGCACAGCTCATAACCGTGATTACATTCCAAAAATACTTCATTGACATTTGGAAACCCTAAAGCCACAAAGTGTGGTGTACTTCTGCGAGTCTGTGCGGCCAGAATTGGTTTTGCAATGATTGTTAAAAACTATTAAACACAGACTTTGAAGGAAGTGTTCCAGTACCAGGCAGCTAGGAATTGGCAGTGAATACAGGCTTCACAGCATCACCCAAATCCTGGGAACAGTTTTTTTTTTAAAATAAAAAGAATCACTTTCCCACCCTTCCTGTTTGGGATAATGTTAATTTTATACTATCAAATGTTTAACCAATTTGATCCTTTTTGGAGTTGTCTAAGATCCTTGATTTGTTTATGTCCACTCCTGATCAAAGTTATGCTATTAAAGTTCCAGGCTGTGTAGCTGATTGAGTGTTTTGCTTCTGGTAGGTTTTCTTTTTGCGTTTACAATTTATCGTTCCACATTTCCTTTCTAGCAGCAAATCCTGGACTTCAATAAGTCCTGTTTTATCAAGTGGGAAATGGGAGATAAATCTTATCAAAATTACTTTGCACTCCACCTTAGACATGGAGAACAAATTTTCCTAATTAACTTGGTTTAAAGTCTATTTATTGATTACTTTCCCATGGCATTTTTCTAAATTTCAAAAGTCCTGATTTTTGTATATCTGTACAGTGCTAGTTCTTTTAACACTCCTTAGTTAATTAAAACTATTGGATCATAAAAGTGTAGAAAATAAGAACAGGAGTAGGCCATTTGGCCCTTTAAGCCTGCTCCACCAATCAATTAATCTTGGCTAATTGTCCCACTCAGTCCCCTATTTCTGCATTCTCCCTATCCCTAAGAACTGTACCTAACTCTTCCTCCTTCCTAAAAATATTCAACATTTTGCCTCAACTGCATTCTGTGGGAGAGAATTCCAAACAATCACTGCTCTCTTGCTGAAGAAATTTCTCCTCGTTTCAGTCCATCCGAACCCTTAGACTGTGACCCCTGGTTTTGGACTCCTCAGTCACTGGGCATATCCTTCCTGCATTTACTTTGTCTGGTTCCATGGGTTAGAGTTGCCTCTGGTGCTTTGCCCAATGTGAACCAATCTGAGGGATGCCAGAAGATTGTCTGCACTATAAGAACATTACAGCCCAATTGCACCCTCTCCTGACACTTGAGTAGGGAATCACTAAGAGCAAACAATAACAAATCCCTGACGTTCAAAACAGAGCTTTTGTCTAAAATGTAAACTTAAAGTATTGGAAAGTGCACCAGAATTGCCTCACCTAGATTCAATGAACTTGGTATATGAATTAAATATGGGAACTTCCTTGTCTTTGAAATTATTCAGAAATTCTCAACCCAGCCCAATGACCAGCGGGAATTATTTGAATTAATTCAAAAGTTAATATTACAGAAAATCACTTATGAATTTTAATGTTGTAATCTGCCATATTTAAGTGCATTTTTTTAGCTTGAACTTTTCTGCAAGCAAAAATCCAATTTCAAGCCTTTTATTTTGTCTCCTTTAATTTTCATTTTCCTTAAAGTTGGAAAGTTTGTTTTGTATTTGGATATGATAGCATCAGATGAGCAGCAAAGTTGAGTTTCAGGTCCAAAACGTTGACTTCCCTGCTGCTCTGATGTCTAACCTGCTGACTTCCTCCAGCTCAACATTTTATCGACTGATTTCCAGCATTTACAGTCCTTGCTGTCTCCTTGTATTTGGATATATTTTGTTTGTTAATTGTAAGATTGTACTTTGTGAAAGTATAATAAATCCTAAAGAAACAGTAGACATTTTTCTTCTTTAACTTTTAAGGAGGGAGGAGGAAATGGGAGTGAGAGAAGTCCTTTAGAGCATTTTTTCTTTTATAAAGTGACCGGCTTTGTTTAATAGAACACTTTCAACTGTTTTGAGTAGTTTATGTACAACTTTTTTGTATTTGTTTCTAAATTACCTGATACCCTTTCTCCACAGATCCAATATAATGCATCTGGGTTTCTGGAGAAAAACAGAGACACAATCCCAGCAAGCATTCGAGGCCTGTTCATTAATAGTATAACTCCATTGCTAAGTGTACTTTTCGCAGGTAAATATTATGGTACGCAGCCCTGTATAGGGAAGTGCACTGGCCAGTATTGTCTCCATGTTGTGGCTTTAAAGTTGTGTATCTCTGTATTGGATATTAGAAAGTTGCAGCAATATGAATCGATTTCATAAACCATATAAATCAGTCATTTGATCAATGCAAAGCAACTACTTGCTTTTGTGTAACTCTAATGTAAAAAATCATCCCAAGCAATCAAACAAAAATAATCTCATGCTTTAGCCATGCAGTTATCAGGGATGTGATTAAAAGCTTGGAGGCATAGATAGCTAAATGGATGGGTATTGTTGGTGGGGGAAAATGGAACATGGAAGCAGAAGAAGATATTTAGATAGTTCTTGGAGTTCTAGGAATCCTAGAATACAGCGCACAATGAGACCTTACTATCTGAGATAACTGAGCTGGCTGTCTGTAAGAGTAGTTTAGCTTGTCCCACTGTTCTGCTTCTTCGATCACCCTCTCTGACAGTATCATGTGGACCTTAACTGTTTGTGTAAACAAAAATGTTTTTTCTTGTGCATAATTGGCTATTTACCAGTCATCCTTAAATCTGTTTCCTCTGGTTTACTTCAGACTTTTTTCCATTTAGTCTATCCAAATTACTGTTAATTTTGAATACCTATTCAAATGGCAGCTGAGGTGAGTAGGGCTGTTTAAAATAGAACAGACTGACCACTGGGGTCCCACGCTAGTAGAATTTGAGAAGTGTAGAAGTTACATTAAACATCTCACATTTTGGGTAAGTCACAAGGCATTGTCTCCATGTGCCAATTAACCTCGTTCTGTGCTGTAGTGACTCTGTGACATGCTTGTATTCCACACACGCCTGATCTCAATATTATTTTTTAAAAAGTGGTATTAGAAAGGCTGCAAAAATGTTCACGAGGTTGGTCCCTGAACTGAAACAGGATATACCTGTCAGCCATAGTCCAACAGGCCTGATCCTTTAGAAAAGTGCGCACTTGAGGATCAGCACAAGGGGTCTTCAAATTTGTGGAATGACTTGATACAGTAGAAGGAGAGAAAATATCTTTCCAGTTGTGGGGGAAGTCCCAAAACCAGAGATCATCAACGTAAGATCATCCGTGAAAACCTTCCAAACCCACAACCATTTCCATCTAGAAGGACAAGGGCAGCAGAGAAATGGGAACACTGCCACCTGCAATTCTCACACCACCCCCTCCCAAGTCACGCAATCCTGACTTGGAAATATATCGCTGTTCCTTCACTGTCACTGGGTCAAAATCGTGGAATTTTCCCCTTAGTGGCATTGTGGGTGGACTGTAGTGGTTCAAGAAGGCAGCTCACCACCACCTTCTCATGGCTGGGAAATTGGTTCAATGGCAGGTGACAAAGCAGGGATAATGGCTAGATAGTTGTATAGCTGGTCATTTGGGCTGGGTTGAGAATTTCTGAATAATTTCAAAGACAAGGAAGTTCCCATATTTAATTCATATGCCGAGTTCATTGAATCTAGGTGAGGCAATTCTGGTGCACTTTCCATATACATTCCACTACAGAGGAAACCCGGAAGTGAGGCAATCCATCGCAATGGACCCCAGAGTTTAAAAACCAGGTGGGAAAACACCCCGACGCTTCATCAGAGGCTGCACTGAGGATGTTACCCAGCACGGTAACAAAACGTCTGCGGAACAACAAAACAGCTCGGCAAGCCAACCAACCTCAACACCCACAACCCGAGCTACAGATCTACTCCAAAACCTTAGAGATAGTTGAATTAGCAGGATGTGACCAGTGGTAAACCACAAGGATCTGTATTAGGGCCTCAGTTATTCAGATTATTCATTAATGACTTGGATAAACATGTAGGTGATAACTTAAAATTACAAAGGGATATTGATAGACCAGGTGAAGGGGCAAAATTGTGGCAGATGGATTTCAATGTAAGCAAGTATGAGGTTATCCATTTTTCGACCAATCAAGGATAGATCAGGGTAGTTTCTGGAGGGTATGATGTTAAATGCAGTGGAATCCCAAAGAGAATTGGGGCTTCAGGTGCAAAGATCTTTTAAAATGCCTGGAAAGATGCAGAAAAGAATTGGGAAATGGAATGCTGGCCTTTATACCTACAGGACTGGAGTGTAAGGATGCAGAAGTTGTGCTGCAGTTTTACAAAACCCTAGTAGGACCCTACATGGAGTACTGAGAACAGATCTAGGCACCATGCGTTAGATAGAATATATTGGCCTTGGAGAGAATTCATTGTAGATTTACAAGAATGATATGTGGACTTTGGGGGTTATGTTCTGAGGAGTGATTGTACAAATTAAGCCTGTTTTCTCTGGAATTTGAAAGGTTAAGGGGTGATCTGATCAAAGTCTTCAAGCTATTTACTGGTCTTTTTCCTGTTAATAAAGAGAAACTGTTTCCAAAGGTTGGGATTCTTGAACTGAGGGCATAGCCTGAGAATTAGGACCGAGCCATTCAGGAGAGATGGTAGGAAACACTGCTACACAGAAGAGTAGTAAATGTTTGAAACTCACTTCAGTTGATTGTTTTAAATTCAAGATAGATGAATTTTTGATAAACAAAGGTATTACGGGATATGGGTCAAAGTCAGGTGTGTGCAGTTAGGCCACAGATCATCCGTGGTCTCATTGGATGGCTCAAGGGGGCTGAATGGCCCACTCCTGTTCCAGTGTAAATTTGTAGTATTAGCAAAATACAAAGCCAAGGAAGCCCACAAGGACATGTCTGGACATGGGCATTGAATCAACTGAAATCTACAGAGGGGGTAAAGATTGAAAGGCCAGCCTGGAGAGCAGAGGAATAGCTGAATCTGGAAGTTAGTGTGATTCACAAAAACACGTTAAATTGAAGCAATTGTGCAAGGCACTGTCGAATACAGCATGGAGCCTGATATCCCCAGCCCCTGCTGAGTTCTTATGTTATTTGTGGGAAGATCTGTGTATCAGAGCTGTTGGAGGGAAATTTCAGAATGTAACATGTCCAGTCAAACTAGATAAGCATAGCCTGAAATTTCAGGAAAGGAGAAAAGTAGAGGAGGAAAGGGCGAATCAGAAAATGTATTTTCCTGGAAAATAAATTTAATCTCGCTACATATTTGTACATGAACGTGAATAATTATATTTTTCCAGTTAATTTTGATGGCACTGACACCTTGGTTTTGTTTTAACATTTTAGCTACAGTCTCAAGAACAGGAACCTTAATGGCTTACCAAAGACCAAGAGTAAGTTATTCTAAGACTTTTTGTGGGTTTGAATCAGAGTAAGTGATCTTACTGCAAACTGAATTCTTTTGTGAGCCAAAGATACTGAAGCTACAGCAAGTGTGCACACTATGGAGATGTACCAATGTCACAAAGGGCTCCAGTCCACTAACTGCAGTTGATACTCAACTGTGCCTGAAGTATTGTCAGTAAATGCCCACTATCCTTACAGCAGCCACAATACTTCCGTCCTGACAATTAGCTGTTCCCACCACTATCAGACCGTTGGAAAGAATTGGGCCGTGGTGTTGAAGATGGAGGATAATTTATGCACGTGGCTCATGATGGACCTCTACTAGCTGACCTTTAGAGGGCAACATGTGTCCACTGGGAGCCTCGCTACCACCAGAAGGTTGTGGAGAAGACTCTCTGCATTCTTGAGGCTGCCTGAGCCCCTCTGGACTGGGGTGAAGGGGAGCTCTAATACTCCCTGAAGAGTGGCTCCAAATCACAGACACAACCTCGGGAGGCAGCAGAGGTGGACAACGAAGCATTCAGGACAGATCAGTGACTCTTAGTTGAAGATGAGATACAGCTCTCAGCTGCCTTCGTGAGCCACATGGAAATACCTGCATATCTGAAAGCAAGCCTTCACAAAGGTTGAAGTGAGGGAAAAGGGAGAGAACGGAAAGTAACCGATCCATGGTCCGACCACTTGGACTTTGTATCTTATTCCAGTCAGCAGGTTCAGGGTGAAGTGGGGTTTGAGTGGGACCATAAGGCAGGAATGCAACTTCCTGGATATATCAGCCTCAGTGATAGCAGAGTGGTTTCCTACAGCAGATTTGAATGATGGAGTTGTAGGTTTACCCCTCCACTAATGCGCTGTAGTTTAGAGTCATAGAGTAATACAGCACGGAAACAGGCCCTTTGGCCAAACTGGCCCATGGTGTCCACTCAGCTGGTTTCAATTGCCCACATTTGGTCCATATCTCTATAATCCCTTTCCATCCATGTACCTATCCAAATATTTTATAAATGTTACTATTGTACCTGCCTCAACCACTTTCTCTGGTAGCCCATTCCATATACACACCACTTTCTGCATGAAGTTGCCCCTCAGATCCTCCTTAAAACTTTCTCCCTCTCACCTATGCCCTCTTGTTTTCAATTCCCCATCTCTGGGGAAAAAGACTATATGCATTCATCCTAACTATGCCCCTCATGATTTTATACACCTCAATTAGGTCACCCCTCATTCTCCTATGTTCCAAAGGATAAAGTCCTATCCCAGCCAACTTCTCCCTATAACTCAGGTCTACTAGTCCTGGCAACATCCTCGTAAATCTTCTTTGCACACTTTCCAGTTTAACTATGTCTTTCCTATAACAAGGTGACCAAAACTGTACGCAATATTCCATGCACAGCCTCACCAATGACTTATACAACTGTAACATAACATCCCAACTCCTACACTCAATGCCTCGACTGATGAAGGCCAGCATGCTAAATGCCTTCTTCACTACTCTGTTCACCTGTGACGCCGCTTTCAACGAACTATGTATTCGTACTCCTAGGTCCCTCTGTTCCGTAACACTCGGGAGCTTATCATTTACTGTATAAGTCCTACCTTGGTTTGACTTTCCAAAGTGGAACACCTCACACTTGCCTACATTGAATTGCATTTGCTAATCCTTAGCCCGCTTCCCATCTGATCATAATCCTCTAATTTTTGATAATCTCCCTAGTTATCAATGATACCTCCTAATTTTGTGGTCATGGATCATGTTATTTTGCATATGAGAGAGAGAGAGAGACAGTAGCGAGCATGTTACAATGTGCTTGGGTGATGTGCCTGGCACATGGAAGATGTGGAGTCTGTGAGCAATGGGTAAGAGACTGGCAGCATTGAAAGAGAATGAGATGGAACATCTGTATATTAACCCTAGCAGGCACATCCCTGGCCTGTTGGTGAGTGGCTGGTGAAGTGTGATTCATTGGGCAGCATGTGAGGATGTTGGTGCAATGATTAGAAGATATCCTTTGAAGATGCATTCTCTAAAACTTGACCATGCACATGGGCCTTTTGCACTGCTGTCTTCCTGTGACCCCTCTGGATTAAGGCCACTGCGACCCGGAATCTCCACCCTGTCTTGCATGTTGCTCCGTTTGGTGTCCTCCTTACAGCCGCTTCCACTGCAGACAGTCAGTGGTAGTTTCTGTTTATGAATGCAGCTCCCATATAAGAGAACCAAGCAAATTGAAACTCTTGCTGACCACGCAGTGTTGGAAGTGTTTAGGCAGTCAGCTGCTCAGATTGCACCCAGCTGAATGTTAAACTGATTTAAATGAGGAGACGGTGTGCAGATTGCATGCTGCCCCCTTTAATGGGACTGGCTATGAGCTAATCAGGAAACTGACCAGCCAATGAAATCCAAATCCTGGAGTGAATTTAAAAAATATACAAATTCCAGGTCCCTGATTACGCAAATTAACAATTTTAAGATGCTGAATTGTACAGATTTTCGAGAGTAAGCATTCAAACTATTTTTTTTTTTTTTTTGGAAGTATTTTTTGTTCAAAATTGAACAATACTGCTCTGTTTAGGTTTGGTGTGTTTGTGTGCCATCTGGAAAGCAGGAGAAAAAAACAATTTCTAAAAGCATGGAGGTGCAGTTTACGATGAGCTGGTACTTGATCTCCAATTGAGACCATTAGAACAAGATGAAAGGCATCAAGGGTATACAGAAAGGAACATGGAAACGTTGATTTTGTTGACCCAGATTTTTAACTAATACCAAGCTTTAAACTCAAAACCAAGACCTAAAACTAAATGAATGAAAGTGAAAAATATGAAACTTTGCTTACCATGAAGCTAATAATAGTAATGCTGTGGCTTTCATAACCTCAATGTCTCCAAAGTGCTTTACAGACCAGTAACTACCTTTGAAGTTTCATCATCTGTGTTTATACACTTTTTTCTTATACAAGACTTCCTAAATACTATACAGTGTGCTAAGAAATGCATACTGTTTTTGTTTAGTCCTGATTTGAGATGATTGTTTGTTTTTCTGGTTGGTACAGAAAACAGAAGACAACTTTAACAGCACCAGGAAGCAGTCTGTTGGAGCACAGTTTAGAGTATGTATCAATGTTTAATTCTATCCATTAGTTACCTAGGTTACCAAAATAAGTTTTTTTTAATTTGAATTCTTTGCAAGGAAACAGTTCAGGATACTGATCTATTGCACAATAGTCCACAGGAAATGTCAAGCCAAGCTTATAGGGTGTTTTGCTTTGGTACAAACTCCTTTATGTCAACATACAGCCCTCTACAGCATTCCTAAATCCTACAATATTGATTCCTTTAGCTTAAAGATCATTGCAGGTTCCAATTAGCATCAGTGAAAGGTTAGCAACAGAGATGTGCACCATACAGCCCATGTTGGTTGAAGATTCAACTTGCACAATTGACATTTGCAATTTTTAAAAGAAAAACTTTGACAAGCCTATTGAAAAGTGAGACTTCTCACTGAATGTGAGAAATACATGTGTCTCTGAAACCTCCACTGAGTGAGACTTCGCGATTTCTGCAGAATGTGAATGACCACAGGATCACGGAGCTAGTATAGCACAGGAGGAGGCAGTTCAGCCCAAACTGTCTTCACCTCTGAATGAGCACCTTGCTTTGTTCCATTCTCCTGCATTCTCTCCACAGCACTGCACAGTATTCCCTTTGCAGATAACTGTCTAAACTGTTTTCTAATAATATAGTAAATTTATTGTGGTCCTTGAGGAAACTGATTCATTTGAAGGCAGCAGTTTTTGCGTACTGAAATAGTTTTTAATGTGGTCACTTCAGAGTCAAAGAATCATGAATGGTTACAGCACAAAAGGAGACCAGATTATTGCCACTTGCTGCTTTAAAAAAAGATTCTTTTTAGGTTGGCTTTGGTTCTATTCTCCATTGCTTTAAGTTTGAATCCCCTGACCTTCCGCTCTACTGCCATTATTGTAACTGAGTCAGACCTACAGGCCATCTGTGATCCTGGCAATTCCCATTTAGGTTCACTTGGCTCACAAACGGATCACAGCTCCAGCTCCATCTTCAGTTCTGGTAGTGGAAGAGAATTTTTTCAAAGTCCGGTTTCCCTGAGATTGCAACACCATTGGCTTGACCAGCACTTATTGCCCTGGAGAAGGTGCTGGTCAGCTGCTGCCTTAAACTAGTGCAGTCTTTGCAGGCTGTCAGACCCATTTTTGTCATTTGAGAAAGTCCAGAGCCAAGAGGTGTGGTCATGAAATAACCACAAGCCATTAAAGGTTAAAAACATCTGCCGACCTCTCCGTGAAGAGTTTGTTGATTCTTATCGTGAGCTCACGTAGCAATTATACAATGACTGGATTAATTTGGGCGTGTGCAAAAAATTGTACAAGCTGTGGGTGCTAGAATATCAGAAGTTAATGCCGTAAATGAGCAAAATGCATGTCCATGGTGCATGTGTGCATATGTTCTCTTCACACTTAGCAAAGTTCTTAGCAAAAAGACCGGAAACTAATGAAATGATTTGACAGGGGAACGCTACTGGGTTTTCTGGCAGTTTAAGGGCCAAGTTTAAAATCGTCAACTATTTCCATGTAACTTGACAGCATTGGGCCATTTTACATTGTCAGATCACGTAACACTTTGCAAAAAAAAGGCATGATTCACTGCTGAGCCAAGATGAGAAAGGTAGGTAGTACAATTAGTCAGAGTCATGCAGCACAGAAACAGACCCTTCGGTCCAACCAGTCCATGCTGAACATAATCCCAAACTAAACTAGCCCCACCTGTCTGCTCCATGCCCATATCCCTCCAAACCTTTCCTATTGGTGTACTTATCCACATGTCTTAAATGTTGTAATTGTGCCTGCATCCACCACTTCCTCCAAAGTTCATTCCCCACACAAACCACCCTCTCTGTAAAATGTTTGCCCCTCATGTCTTTTTAAGTCTCTTTCCTCTCACCTTTAAAAATATGCCCCGTAGTCTTGAAATCCTCCATCCTAGGGAAAAGTCACCCATCATTAACTTTATCTATGCTCTTTGTGACCTTTATAAGCCTCTATAAGGTCACCTCTCAACCTCCTATGCTCCAGTCAAAGAAGTACCAGCCTAGCCAGCTTCTCTTTATGTCCTTTAGGACTGAACCAACCCAATCAGCAGTGGTACGTATGGACCTGTTGAATTTGTATCTCATCATGTTTTTGACTTTAGATCAAGTTCCAGTTCTGTTAACTGGAAAATTTTTTTACTTTGCAGCAAATGCTCAGTAATAGTACTTCTTTTTAAATAGAAGTTGAATATGCTAATTGCTTCAGTGTACTCTGCAACAACTTTTTGATATATCATAGAATCATACTGTACAAAAGAGGTCATAGAGTCATAGAGATGTACTACATGGAAACAGACCCTTCAGTCCAATTTGTCTGCACTGACCAGATATCCTAGATTTATCCAGTCCCATTTGCCAGCATTTGGCCCATATTTCTCCTAAGCCATTCCTATTCATATACCCATCCAATGCCTTTTAAATGTTGTAATTGTACCAGCTTCTACCACTTCCTCTGGCAGCTCACTCCATACACTCACCACCCTCTGCATGAAAAAGTTGCCCCTCAGATCCGTTTTAAATCTTGCCCCTCTCTCACCTATAAACCTATGGCCTCTAGCTTTGGACTCCCCTGCCCTGTGGAAAAGACCTTGGCTATTCACCCTACCCATGCCCCTTTATGGTTTTATAAACTTCTATAAGATCACCCCTCAGCCTCCAACAGTCCCAGCCTATTCAGCCTCTCCCTATAGCTCAAACCCTGTAATGCAGGCAACATCCCTGTAGATCATTTCCGAGCCCTTTCAACTTTAATAAAATCCTTCCTATAGGAGGGAGATTGGAATTGAATACAAAATTCCAAAATAACAAATGTCCTGCACAGATGCAACATGACATTCCAGCTCCTACAGCTGATGGTCCTATAGTCCATGGAGTGTGTATCGACAAAAGCTATTCCAAATAATTTGGGTAGAAAACCAAATGAGATGTTGAAACCCAGCATATTGTTTGAGCTGCAGAACAGGCCTGAACATTGTTCTATTGCTTTTGTTTTCAAGCATTCTTTAGCAGTGCTGATGGAGAAAATGTTTGCAGCAAACCCACATTTCATTCGTTGTGTCAAGCCAAACGTTAATAAATTGCCTGATCATCTGGACAGCAAACTCTTCATGGATCAGGTGAGTCTTGCAGCCTTTAGTTTATGGGTATAAATTATAGATGAAGGTGAGCTTACTTCTTGAGCTGTGTTCACAATAGGTCATACACCACAAATCTTCAAAAAGTTAGGATTTTGCTATGGGTATTTAAGGCAATAATTTTTTTTATTCATGCATTGTATTTGGGCATCACTGGCCAGGCCAGCATTTATTGTCCATCCCTAATTGCCCAGAGGGCAGTTAACAGGCAACTGTGGGTCTGGAGCCACATGTAGTCTAGACCAGGTCAGGATAGCAGCTTTCCTTCCCTAAAGGACATTACTGAAGTTGATGGGTTTTTATGATCGATGATAATTACAGTCACTTTTTTTTTAAATTCCAGAATTTTTTATTGAATTCATTTTAATGAATTCAAATGGCCAGACACGTAGACTCTGTGGTCAGACTGTTGCCAAGGGAAATGCAATGAGGATTGGCAGTCTCCATGAGCCTTTTATGAAAAAGGTGCAGTGTGTAGATAATTCCATTTTGCCTCCAGATCAAAATCATTAATATATATGAGGAAAAATAAAGGTCCCTGGGGAATTGCATGGCGAACCTTCCACCAACCCAAACAAATACCCATTTACCATTATTCTTTGATTTCTATTACTCAGTCAATTTTGTATTTATGTTGCTACTGTCCCTTTTATTGCTGATATGTCCGTTGTGGTGCACTATATAAAAGTACCTTTTTTAGTCCATCTACACCACATCAACAGCATTACCGTAACCAATTCTCTGTTACCATTTCAAACAACTCCAAGGTAGTTACGTACAAATTTTCTTCAGAAATCCATGTTGGCTATCCTTTATTTATGCACATTTTTTTCAAATAATTAGTGTTATCCCTAATTATTGTTTCTACAAGTTTCTGCATTGCTGAAGTTAAACTGACTGATCAACAATTGCTGCACTCCTTTGGGGGGGAAAAAAGGTGTAAGAATGACATGTGATTTGCCAGTCTTCTGGCACCACCCCGGAGTCTAAGAAAGTTCATAATAATGGCCAATGCCTCCACAATTCTCACTGTCACTTTCTTCAGTATCCTTGGATGCATCTCATCTAGACTCAATACCTTGTCAAACTTTAGTGGCAGCTTACCAAATGTGACTTACCAATTTTGAATCTTTCTGGTGACTGTATTTCCCTTTTCTGTCACCATGACCTGGGTAGCCTCTGCTTCCTCAGGAAAGACAGCCATGCCCTGTGATTCTGTGTGGAAATCCCCTTTCCGATGCATAGTCTGGGCTACTCCTTTTGCCAACCTTTTACAATTCATGTGCCTTCAGAGGACTTTGGAGTTTCCTTTTACGTTAGTTGCTGTCTCTTTCCATAATTCCTCGTTGCTTGCATAATTGCTTTTCCACCACCTTCTGAATGTTCTGTATTCACTTTGGTTCTCGATTGTATTTTCTATCTGACACCTGTAATTAACATACTTTTTTTTTCCATCTAAATTTCTATCTCCCTTTTTATTGTATTTTCCTTGCATGGTGAGTGATAAAGCAATTTTTGTTTTTCAAGTAATATTCCCAAGCTGGTTGTTATGTAATGATCCCAATTGACGGTAGAACAAGTCAGATCCCCAGAGTGAAAAGCTGGCTTGATAGGTAATCGAATCAGAGATAGTAGGAACTGCAGATGCTGGAGAATCCGAGACAACAAGGTGCAGGGCTGGATGAACACAGCAGGCCAAGCAGCATCA